CGTGAACAGAAGCGTTCGTGAACCGAGGTACCACTGTATATGCTGCTTTGAGTTCCTGAAGGAATTACAGAATGTAAATCTAACACACAAATGGATTCAGGATGTATACTGAATAATAAAAAATCTATTGTGAAATTCTAGGGAAATGGTCTAGTCATAAACCCTCCAGAGGGACTGCTGCTCGTTCAAATCTATGCTACTTCAGATACCATCCCAGCTAGTTGGCTACATCCCATGTAACTTATATCCTCTATCATTCTTTTACATTTACAAGAAAGATCTTTAATAAATAGCATCAGTATTAGTAGCAATGTTAGAAACTGACACTGTATTCCACCTCTTAGAACTGTGTAACTCTTGTTAGTATGGGCTGCTTCCACTCTAGGGTAGAGATAGGTATTAGTCCTCCAGGGCCATTTTTGTAGCCATGAAGAGTCATGGAACCAGATAGGCCACACTTTCAGCCCTTCTGACTATGTTACCATGCTCCTGTTACACCCTATGCACCTCTTGAAGGACCGCAATGACAAAAGGGTGCTAGCCTTTGTTTTAAGAGGAACACTTTCCTTTCTTAGCAGTAAATTCTGATTAATTCTGATCTCTGTTTTCCTTCCATCATTAGTCTGTGCCCATCATCTCTCATTCCCGCTGGCTGCTAAAGCAGGGAGAACTCCAACAGATGAATGGCCCTAAAACATCTCGTACATTACGTACAAAGAAACTCTTTAGAGAAATCTACTTGTTCCTTTTCAACGATTTATTAGTATTATGCAGACAAATTGCTGGGTGAGTCTGAATTAGACAAATTAACAATTCTGGGATAAATTATTTTTCATTAGCAGTTAATGTTTTATTAATTTATCATTTATTTACAATATTTGTAGCCTGTCCACCATCCAAAGGATCTCATGTTACTACAGCCCTAGCCGTAGGCATAAAATATTAGACAAATCTTTTCAACTGTCATTATTGTTTTAAGCAGATTTGCCCTCTAGAATGATATTCCCCCAGGAGATCAGTACTGCTCTCAGTTTACTGATTCTTTGCAAATTGTTAAAAACCTGGTGGTTCTTACAGGTCTTGGGTTATGACAATGATCAAGCCCCTTTGGGTTTGAGGGGTTTCTTTTGGTATCTTCTTGGTCTTTTGTGTTATAGGGTTGGTTCTTCTGGTCAGTTGTATTCCCTTTTCTTTGATATATGCTATTTTCTTTTTTATTCTTTTTAATTGTAAGCTGCCCAGACTTGTGCAGTCAGGTGGCCTCAGAATTGAAAAATTAAATTAAATTAAAAATAAATGAAATCCATACCCTTTTATAATTCTGGATTTTTTAAATTAAGAATTATTAACTTTTATTTCATTTCCCAAGTTTTGTGGCAAAGTCTTTGAAAAACTGAGATTTGCAACAGAGAAAGACCGGTTAACCCTCTCCTGTTGCTTCTGTTACTTCTGAATCCCACTGCTCAAGGCAAAATGGGGGTGATGGATTTCCCTTGTCTCCTCAAAATTGTCAGTGGATTTTCATATATGTTATGCAGTTCTGGAGCTTAATGGGAGGTTTTTAAAAATGGGGAATTTTTAAAAGTAATACGTTCTGGCATTTGCTCACTGAATATCTTGGTTTGATAGAATGAGTCTTATAGCAAATTGATCCATGCAGTTTGTCATCCCATTGTAGTTTTTGGACTGGTACTGAGTTTATAGGAGGTGGAAAGAAAAAGAGGTGGATATAATATTATTTCATTGTGATCAATAAACTCTTTCTATGTGATTTTGTATATATCAATGGTCTCTCTTGGTGAGCAATCAAATGGTCCTTATTCTTATTCTATTTTTCATTCCTCTGTTCCCATCTCTTCCCTCTTCCTTTAATAAAATACTTTAATATTTTATTGCTTTAAAAAAATAATGTTCCAAATATATTTATCACTTCTGAAATTTATACATTACATTCTTAATTTTTATTTCTATTTATCTATGGAAATAATTTTGAACAATATGTTGTTGTGAATATATATCTTACTTCTGTCTTTTGTTCTTGTAAACATTATTCCTTTCTCACCAATCCCAGTTTAGGTTTTGTGTGTTGTATATGTATGTACAATATACATATACATATACATATACATATACATATACATATACATATACATATACATAC